GATTGACTGCCATGTAATTTAGCTAATATGACTGTAGATACTAGCCCAGATACCTCTCATACATTTGTAACCTGAAAAATAATCTGGAGAATCTCAGGTACAGTTCTTGGTGGCTACTCAAGTAAGATGAATAGGACTATAAACTTTCACACTTCTTTGTTAACACAGTTCAGAGTTTTCTTCTTGTATTTGCTTTTTTATCTACTACCTACTGTGAAAGTTTTGTTATAAGTTGCTTTATGTGTGTAGACAGGATAATATGCTGTGTTCAAGGTTTTTTTTAAACAGAGGTAGAAGCTTGTTCCACTTTAGTGTAGTTATTGTTTATTTAATGATATGTTTTCTAAATGTAAACCTTAATGGTGAGATCAAAGGCAGTTATGCTTACTAAAACTTTAGAACACAAATCTACAAAACCAACTTCTAGTTACAAATGCCAACCTGAAAAAAAACTCACACTTTCTTCTCCTCGGCATGTGCTTGTCAACACACACATCTGTACAATGTGATAAGACACTTTAAGCTAACATGTGCATGCAACCAAAACAGATTAAAGGCATGTACTGAAATTTTTAAGACAGTACAGACTAAACAATCAGGTATTTAAGGCATGTTAGAAACAGGGAAGGAAAGTAATTGTGCTCATTTATTCAGTTTTAAAATGAAACAAATTACATAGCTTTCTCAAAAATTATTACATAGCTTTCTAATTGACAGTCAGAAATGGATCTTTTGAAATACTAAGCATACAAAAAAATCGAGTTTTAGGAATATGAGAAAAGCACTCATCTAAAGAATGCAATCAGATTACTAAAAAAACCACCAAGTATATACAGTAGATTGCCCCACTGTATTTGCATGTATGTATTAAAGTTCCAGCAGTCAGCTGCTTACTTTACAGTATCTTTAAAAATTTTATTAGAGTGTTGCTGCTCTGGCCTATAAGAATCTGGCCTTTAGGTCCTTATCAGTTTCCATGTAATTCCCATTGCATGGGATGATAGTTACAGACTTGTAATAGATGACCAAACTGTCATGCAGTCGGAATTCTGCTTTAGCTACATGCATAGTACAACAGAGCTAGCGACCTTGCTGACATCCTGCAACATGCTCTGCTTTCCATGCAATCTGCTAAGCATTCTCACATCAGTTCACAGGTGTTCTAAAGAGCACTGAGGAAACTAGCTAATTTGTGTCCTGAAAAGTTGGCAATTCCTATTTTGAGTCCTAAATTCTTAAAATGAGTTCTAATATATACTAGAAAACTTGCAGTTCTGCAGTGTCTATTTAGCTAGCCTAAAGAAATCTCTGTTAAGTCCTATCACTGCTGCTAGATGAAAAGGCAAAAAGAAAATTTAAACAAATAGCAGAAGTCAGGATTGTTTTGTATTAACCGCTGGCTCATGCTCTGTACCTTAAAATGCAAGTTTTGCACTTGTTAAGCATGTAAGTGGAGATTTGTTTTTGCCAAGCTGCTGTTCAGATTCCTAGTAATCATATACAGGTTGTTAAAGTTGCCCTTTTCTGCATGCATTTGATACGTAAACTGACTGTTCTTGAATTAGGCTGTGAGGATGGTAGCTGATTATTCCCGGCTGCTGGGACAGACAAGGCATTTCATGACACTTTCCAGAAGAATGTTCTGTCCTGTCTCCCACACTATTCTCTCCAGATCAACCTTCTTCCCCTTCAAAAAAAGTGCAGTTAGGCGATGTTGCCTAACATCTTATTCCCCTGCTGCTGACCCAGCCTAGACATGACATCAGTACTAGGGTAGGGTATGTCAGGTTCTTCGCAGCAGAAGGGAGCTTAAAGTAGGAGGAACTGAGCTGAATAGTTCTCAGGGGATGAGGGGTGTATTGCAGGTTGCATACGTTGAACAAGTGGAATGGAATCTCTTAAAACAGGCAGATGGATATTAGCTGCTTAGTTTTTTATCACTTAAGGCAGTTCATACCAAATGAGGGAAGCTTAAACCAAGTTTAAGAGATAATATAAAATACAGGGCAAAAAGCAGACCAATCAGGCAAATCAAATTCATTTTAAAAGGTCCAGCAGAAAGTGATTGGGTCTCAGAAAAACAAGGCCAGCAGCTAATGCAAAATAAAGCAACCCACTTTCATGGACAGACAGAAAGCATATGCAAGGGCTGTTATTTTAGTGCAGCTGATGTGCTTAAGAGCCACATCTTAATCTGTCTTTGATAACCTGCTATTTTAGATATGCCCATGGATGCATCTGCTTATAGGTAGCCTAAAGGCCAGCAGTCAAGAATAAAAGGTGCAGAACTACTATCATTAACTGTTAGGGTGTTTTTACCCTGCCTTGAGGGTTGGAGAAAATAGTGTTAAGGACAGCAACACTCTTAACTCCAGTCTTTTAACTCCTGTGCTTAAGAGAGTTTTCAAAAGGCCAATCAAACTGTCTTCAGAACTACTTTGGGCCATCTGACAAGCATAGTAAGAATGAGTACCTGGCCTAGTACCCTTCTGTTCTATGCCACTAGAAGGGATGATGTGGTGTTTCTTTTCTGTCTCATCCATACAGGGATCTGCTCCAGATCTCCGGACAGTGAGATGGAGCGTTTTATGGTTTCTTCCCTTTGCCCCATCTTTGCCAGATGCCATTAGTGAGAGTTGGATTTCAGAGGTCAGAGAGACTTATGTGTTAAGTGAGACAGCCTGAAACTGCTGTTAAGGTAACGCTGATTTTTAAAAAGCAAAGCAAAAATTGAGCATTTTGAAAATGGACAGAGGCATAATTAATATTTAGAAGTTACACAACTATTGAAAAACCATGTTCCAAATTGCAGTTCAGTCACTTAAGAAGAAGCTACAAGAAATCATCAGAGATCCTTTTAAACATACCAGCAATTGCCCACTTTACACAAGACACCAAAACATACAGGGTCAATGGGTCACTGGGGATACTGACTCTCCAGTTAAAGGAACATGAAAAATGTAGAGTCTAACATCTACCTATACTTCTGGAAAGCAAATAGGCAGCTACAGATTCACCTAATGTAGGCAGAATATAATGAAGGATCATTGATCACTTGGAGAAACTGATTACTCAGTAGTAAAAAGACCACTGAGTTATGAAGCCTCTGTCCATAGCTTTGTAGATATTAGAGTGGTGTTTGACTTCATCAGTGAACAGGAAAGTATGACTCCTGTTCCAACTGAACATTACTGAGTGAGCAGCTGGGGTTGTAGGGGCTTTTCTACCATTTTGTCCTTTAGACACACATAATATGCAGAATGCTAGAAATAACTTAATTACATTTCATTTAAAAGTTGAAAAGATCCACCTGAAGCGTAAGTTTAGCCAAGGCCACAAACTTATGTGAGTTTTAAATAAACATAGTATCTTATCATGCCAAAGCATTTCAAGGCTTTTTATAGACCTACAATACCACTGTTAAATGAATGAAAACAAGCAAGTCTTTGGTTTGAGAGGCAACAACCAAAATATTCATTAACAAAAACAAGTAGCAAAGACAGAATGTCCGGAAATGGAAGGATGAACTAAGGTCAATAAAGAGTACCTAAGGCACCTTGTTTAGTCATCTTTGCTACACTCCTTAAGACCTCCAAATAATATATATAACTGCAAATGCTAAGGAATGTGAAGATGAAACAGCTGAGGAGACCATAAAGATGAAACAGAAAAGGACAGAATATGTTACTCTCACTCCTAGTTAAAATTCCCATAGTCAAGTATGTGAATAAATATATTTTTTTCCAAATAATAATGAAGTGAAGAGAAGAATTTGAGCTAGGAAAATGAATGAAAGGAGGAACCAGCAGCATTAAGAGTAAGCTCATTTGATATTCATGAGTTGCAAGTCAAAATGAAGTAGAAAAGAAGGCTGGACACCGAGATGTAGATATTTTCTTTAATGTCTATTGCATTTCTCAGTTGCAAGTACTACAGAAGGTGGAAATACCCTCTTAATTTAAAAATTAAAAAAATAGAGTGCAGTCTGTACTTGCTTCAGGAACATACACTGTATAGCAGGAAGTGCAAAACTGTCCTTGCAAAAAAAAAAAAAAAAAAAGCAAAGGAGAATGTTTGAAAAGCGAATGGGAATTTGGTTTATTCTACAATAGATATTTTTAATCACCAACTCAGTTGAGACTTTCATTTAATGCAGCATGTAGTTGACTGGTAATATAAGCTACATCTGAGGACAGACTGGTTAAGTTTTTTGTTTTGGCCACTCCTCCCTGCAAATCAATACCAATTTTAAAAAAAATAAAAGGTGTGTGGGATGAATCCCATTACTTCTTTGCCTCAGTACTAGATGGGTTTGTGAAAGGGAGTCAGCTGTATTGAGTCAGTTCCCTCTTCTTATACTAGGAAACAGAGCTTATAATTAAAGCTCTCTTTAACATAACTGGCTTATCATGTTTGATGAACCGGGTGCAAGATGTTCAGTCAGTTTCCAAACTTATGTTCCCTCCCTACTGCTAGCCAGAGAAATTCATCCCTTTACATACTTTTCAAGACAAAAAGAGAAAGAAAAACACTCTATCCATCTCAGCCTCTGGCCTTATTTGAGTATTAGTTAATTTATAAACACCTCTAAAATTTTTGGAACACCATGAGAGATTGGAAGGAGAAATTGCCAAGAAATCTGTAGGCTTCCAAATGTGTGCAGCAGAACAGGAAGTTTGGTTAGCTGAACACTTTAGGGGATGTAGATACTTGTAAGCTTTTTCATCTAGTTTTGGGAATATCAAACTAAAGTCTGCAATATCCAGAAGCCTGGTTACACTTTAATGCATATTAATTAAAAACTGTACAACAGCATTTAGTGTTCATGAAGATGATTGTTACACTTTTGGCATTTTTAGGAAAGCACGTCAAGCTTTAAAGTAGAAGACGACTGTACTCTTTCAGTACCTAGATTACACTGAGAATCTGTGCTCACAAAGTACAAAAAAACCACAAACATTTTCCTCATTGTCTGCTTTTACCTTGTGTTCTCCCCTCAGGTATGGCCCATTTCCTGTTCCCTCGGAGCTACCTTTGGCTATGTGGCTGGCCTGATTATTGCGCCTCTGTGGATACACTGGAACCGGAAGCAGCTTACGTACAAAAGCAGATAACTGGAGCAATGAGAGACAAGGTATTTCTTTGTGCAGATTCCATACAGACTGTGCAAAAGTTGGGGTTTTTTTTTAAGAGAGAGATGTATAGACAAAGCAGAAGACTATCCAAATTCATTAGAATATTTCAGGCCAAGCATCTCCACTCAATGAAATCACATAGATGCCATTTGAGCATGGTGCAGTTTTTGCTTCCTCTAGACTATGTAACCCTGAGAGATTGTACCTTCCAGTCTGAATAAAATATTTGTAACAGGTGTGGTGGCTTCTTATTACAAGTTCGTTGAGATTGATTTTATTCTTCTGGATTTCACTGGTTGTAGAAGGCAGAATCGTAGTTTTAGCTTTCAAACCTGTAACAAGTTTGCTGTGTACTTAATGCGTTGTATTTAAATTCAGTAGAATTTCACAGTAAGCCTGGCCATTGTCAAATGTATCTCACGTGATCAAACAGCAGTTTATGCATCTTGAGCCTATTCTCTTCTTCACTGTATGTTTCTTTGGAGTTAGAATGGCTATAATAGCTTCATCAAAAACAGTCTTCAGTCCTTTTTGTGTTAAAGCTGAACACTCCACATAGCAGTAGGCTCCTATCTGTCAAGACAATAAGTTAATTCAATAGCAATATATTTCAGCTGTTCAGTTCTATCTGTGCACTGCCCCATTTTTTTTTTTCCAACAGCAACACCACAGTGTTTGTCTGTGATCTAGAAAGTTACCTGCCATGTGCATTCCCCTGTAGGAGAAAAGATGATTTGTCTTTCGACCAAAGATCTGAAACGTATTTAAGTTGGTTTGGCATATAAAGAAAGCATATTAAATAAGCTCTTTGGATTGACAGTGGAGTCCTAAGGTATTTTTGATAATTAAACAGCAAAAAAAAATTAAAATTACATGACCAATTCATGTTTCAAGAATAAAACTCTATAAATAAGTAGTCTGGTAAGTATTATTGACACAGTGTGTTAAAATGATAGTATAGCATCCTTAAATAATTTCTTAAAGATGCTTCCAACATTTTGCTTGAGCAGGAGAAGTCCCTTCCAACCTCAGCCACTCTGTGATTTTAAGTCTCTCTGACTAATGCTTATGTAGTTTTTACGAGTGTCTGCACAAAGTTAGAACTATTACTAACAGAGAAGTGCTATTACACAGGTCTGCTTGTTAGCTGTATTCAACAATTTAAGTAAATATTGTTAACTGATAACCAGTCATAAGGTTTCATACGTTGACTGGTAAAAGAAATGGGCAAAATGGTAAAGGAAGAAAAAAGTCAGTTGGACATAGGGTTTTTGCTTCTTTTGTTTCATTTAGGAGTATCCATTTTACCTCTTTTGCTAACTTATGTCCTTGCTCCACAGATATGGGCTTCTCTTTCATATCGTTCAGTCTTGCCAGAGTTTTTGGGTCATCACGAAGATCAATCTAGAAAGAAAGAAAGACTGCAGTCACGTTGGAATACTTTTTCTAAACAAAGTCAGCAAGCTGTACACTATTGTCTTTTTAAAGTAGACATACTTATTTAATGGAGTATTACATGTATAAAAATGGGGTCATGTCATGATTCAGATCATGGACCCTTCCTGATCCAAAAGCCCCAGAAATTTAAGCTATGAACTACTACCTTTAATCCAGAAGGAACAAACATTTATTCTGTCATTCAGATCTTCAATTAGATGTGATTATCTCAGAATACCAGAATGTATATCTGGCAGTGGCAGAAAGATTAACCCAAACATAATACCAATGTGTGGGTCACTGTAATTGAAGCCCAATCCACTGCCCACAAGAAGCAAGAGGAAATTGTCTCACTCTTCCCCTTGCTCCTTTGCTTCAGCAAATATTGAATATGACCAATAGTTGTAGACCCAAGTAATCCCAGTAACCTGGGTGTGAACAGACAATTTTATTCTGTAAATCGCATGACTTTCTATAAAGTCAAATGGAGAGATGCAGCCAGTCTTGCCACTGTTTAGAATACATGTATTTTAACAAAATGTAGGTAGCTCATTAGCAAACAACACAGACCTAGGTTTTTCTGCCAGTTGTTAGGGTTGTTCCTCCAAAGACAGAATGAGATGGTGCTCAGGTCCTGTCAGGCCTGAAGTTCCAGCCCAAAGAAAAGGCACTGTACAATGATGTGAATTGTTTAAATAAAGTAGAACAGAGCCAGATATACCTGTGTTCCTACTAGTAAAAAGGGAACGTTAGGTGCATATTCCTTCAACTCCGGTACCCACTCTTCCTTCACATTTTGAAATGAAGCGGGGTTTACCACTGAGAAGCAGATAAGGAAGACATCGGTCATAGGATAAGATAAAGGTCTCAGACGATCATAGTCTTCCTGAGAAAGAAAAATTCTGTTATCTGCAATATTAAATTATTGCTTGCATTTTGTTAATTTTAACAGTTATATTCAGAAACTGTATTCATATTTTGGGAATTCTGTCAAGGCAAACTTTCTGAATGTTTATAACAATTCCAGGTTAGTCAGTGTGGCTGTTAGAGCAAACTCTGCATATGACGGGTAACTGAATATAAATATTTTGAAAAATGTGTTAATAACAGATAGAAACTTAATTCTGTACAAGAATATACAGAAGACTACCCTTTAAAAAGTTTTCACTTAAAGAAAAAAAAAAAGGCTTATGGTTTAAACCTTGAAGATCAAAGGTTAGCGTTTGAACAAAAATAAATAAGCAAATGTGAATGCTACAGAACCATACAGGTTATACAAAGCTGGGCTAAATTAAGGTTATTTAATGTACTTAAATGTTCTCTTTTGGATCATATGTAGAGGCGATATTAAGGCCCTCCATAGAATTTTCTTTCTGCCTCTTGGAAACCTTACTGTCCTGTTGCTAGTGATCAGGGCTGACGAAATAAGGATCAGAAAGGACCTTTTTCATCCACTCTGCTTTCTGTAAGTAAGCCCAGCAATGAGTGGGAAGGAACAGAAATTAAGGACTAAGAACATTAATGCCCTTTCTGGGGGGAAGTTAGTGTGAAAAGATTATTATTTTGGTCATTTAGAGCCATAGCATTTAAAGTCACTAGTCCTACTGCCAGCGAATACAATACTGTGGCCACAGAGGTACCTAGGAGCATTGTCCCTATTGTAAAAGAGTTCTCTCTACCAAGAGAGAAAGTGCCATATGTTTTAGCTAAGAGCAGGAGGGAACATGCCCCAGCTTCTCTCTGCAAGGCTTCCTTTTGCCTATGGCAGTGAACCAACTTTACCATTCTTTACTAACGGCCTTACCATAACTACCATAGGCTTTTTTTTTTGCCTTTTTTTTTTTTTTTTTTAAACATAGATAACTAAGACTGAGCCTGGGCACTGCAGAGACAGTGATGAATGCTGGTTTTATGCCTTCCCTTCCACAATAAACACCAGTTTATTATGGCTGCCGCAGCAGCCTCTCTCTTCCCCATGTAAGCTTTCCATCTTAATTAAATCTCACAAATATGGTAACGATTTGTTCATTAAATGTAGAAACAGAAAAATAATTCAGCTCCATGTTTGAAACAAGCCAGAAAATTAAATTTTCCTTTCCTTGGCAACAGTCACATTACCAGATTATGAACCTATAGTTGTACCCTCAAAAAAGCCCTTCACTGGTTAATTGTTAAGTTTTAAAGATGGTGTCACTAGAATTTCAGAAAACATGTGAGAACTTCCTTAGAACAATTTCTGCTAGACCCATCTTTTCATTTGGAAGTCAACAGCTATGGGAAGAGGGCTGTTATCCTCATCATAAAATGGAGAAAAGACAAGCACAGGAGCAGATTCTGCACTAGCAAAGAGGTGACTGTTGGCCAGTAATCTTCAGTGTCTATTTACACAATATTCTTACTTGTAATCAGCATACTTGTGTGCCATTTGCATTACACAGTCTACTGCCAGTCTTCTATACTCTACAAGTTTTGTCAGTAAGCTAGAGCATGCTTGGCTGTAAACATGGGCTCCCACTTTCACATCAGCAGTCACTGACACTACTGTGAAACTACAACATTTGACAGGCCTTTTTGAAGATCGGTTGTTTACCTGCTAGTATCAGGCTCTTATCCTGACTCAAAAACCAATAACCGTGTCTTTTCCACATCTGTGGAATCCGTCACAGAAAGCAGAAATAACTTCAAGACCATCACAACAGCAACACAGAATCGTCTAAGCTGGAAAAGACCTTGAAGATCACATAGTCCAACCATTGGCCTAACACTGACAGTTCCCAACTACACCAGATCCCTCAGCACTATGTCAAATCTACTCTTAAACACCTCCAGGGATGGGGACTCCACCACCTCCCTGGGCAGCCCATTCCGACGCCTGACAACCTGTTCTGTAGAGAAATGCTTCCTAATATCTAGTCTAAACCTTCCCTGGGGCAACTTGAGGCCATTCCCTCCTGCCCTATCGCTTATTACTCGGTTAAAGAGGCTCATCCCCAGCTCTCCGCACCCTCCTTTCAGGGAGCTGTAGAGGGCGATGAGGTCTCCCCTCAGCCTCCTCTTCTCCAGACTAAACACCCCCAGTTCCCTCAGCCGCTCCCCGTACGACCTGTGCTCCAGACCCTGCACCAGCTTCGTTGCACTTCTCTGGACACGCTCAAGTCCTTCAATGTCCTTTTTGTAGTGAGGGGCCCAAAACTGAACACAGGAATCGAGGGGCGGCCTCACCAGTGCCGAGTACAGGGATTAAGATCCCTTCCCTGTCCCTGCTGGCCACGCTATTGCTGACACAAGCCAGGATGCCATTGGCTTTCTTGGCCACCTGGGCACACTGCTGGCTCCTGTTCAGCTGGCTGTCAATCAGCACCCCCAGGTCCCTCTCTGACTGGCAGCTCTCCAGCCACTCCTCCCCAAGCCTGTAGCGCTGCTGGGGGTTGTTGTGGCCCAAGGGCAGCCCCCGGCATTTGGCCTTATGGAAACTCCTCCAGTTGGGCTCAGCCCATGGCTCCAGCCTGTCCAGGTCTCTCTGCAGAGCCTCCCTACCCTCGAGCAGATCAACACTCCCACCAACTTGGTGTCACCTGCAAACTGACTGAGGGTGCACTCGATCCCCTGGTCTAGAGATGTCAGACTGACAGGTCTATAGTTTCCTGGATTGTCCTTTCTTGTAGATGGGTGTCACATTTGCCACCCTCCAGTCCAGTGGGACCTCCCCAGCTAGCCATGGCTTCAGGTAAATCATGGACAGTGGCTTGGCGAGCACATCTGCCAACTCCCTCAGCACCCCTGGGTGTAACCCGTCTGGTCCCACAGACTTGTGTGCATCCAAGTGGTGCAGCAGGTCTCTGACCACGTCCTCTTCAACTGTGCTGACCTCAGTCTGCTCCCCCATCCCATCTCCCAGCTCATGAGGCTGGGTGTCCAGGGAACAGCCAGATCCACTGCTAAAGACTGAGGCAAAGTAGGCGTTGAGCACCTCAGCCTTTTCCTCATCCTTAGTTACCATGTTTCCCTCTGCATCCAGTAAAGGAGGGAGATTTTCCCTAATCCTCCTTTTGCTGTTCATGAATTTATAGATACATTTTTTTGTTATCCTTAACAGCTGTAACCAAGTTGAGCTGCACTTTGGCTCTCCTAACGTTCTCCCTGCATAGCTTCACTACATTTTTACAGTCTTCAAGAGAGACCTGCCCCCTCTTCCAAAGGCCATAGATTCTCCTTTTGCTCTTGAGATCCATCCAGAGGTCCCTGTTTAGCCAGGCCGGTCTCTTTCCCCACCTGCTTGTTTTTCAGCACCTGGGAGCAGCCTGCTCCTGTGCCTTTAAGACTTCTCTCCTGAAGTATGTCCAGAATTCCTGGACTCCCATATCCTTCAGGGCAGCCTCCCAAGGGATTTTGTCAATCAGTCTTTTGAACAGGTCAAAGTTTGCCCTCCAGAAGTCTAAGGTGGCAGTTTTACTAACCCCTCTCTTTGTTTCTTCAAGGACTAAAAGCTCAGTCATCTCATGATCACTGCACCCTAGACGGCCTCCAACCTTTACTTCCCCCACAAGCTCTTCCCTGTTCACAAGAAGCAGGTCCAGGAGGGCACCTTCCCTGCTCAGCTCACTCACCAGCTGCCTGAGGAAGTTTTCCTCCACACATTCCAGGAACCTCCTGGATTGTTTCCTCTCTGCTGTGCTGTGATCCCAGCAGATACCCGGGAGGTTAAAATCCCCTACAAGAACAACAGCAAGTGACCACAAGATTTCTCCCAACTTGAAACTATTCAACATTCAATTCTTCTTTAAAGCATGTATTTTACATTTCACTTCTACTACTGAATATAGTTAGATCCTGCTTCAGGGTTGCCACTCTGTTTTCTGGGGTGTAGATCAAAATCCTAAAAGAAACTTCCCAGCTGCAAATTACACTGGACCCTGGAGTATAAAATCTGTGTGAAAGAACACACAGGCAGATCTGTTAGTTGTGCTGAAATTCAACTCCACTAAATCATATGTGGGGTACTACTGAATAGAGTTTTTCTTAAAAAAAAAATAATAATCTAGTTTAAAGTTGTAATTTGTTCCTGCCACCAAAGAGCTGCCTTCACTACACTCAACATTTTCTAAAAATCTTGCATCTGGGTTACAATAACTAGAATACTGTCTGCATTAAATGCTGGAATGGAGAAGATATTTCACTGTCACCAGAAATTACTGCTAGTCCATTGACCTTAAAATATCTCTTTAGTTAATCCATTTCAAATTACAGATGGACCATTTGTTCATAGCAAATTCTAGTAATTTTCTGATCTCAAAGGTGAGTTACAGTTGCATGGCTTACTTCAAAAATTAGATACTATCTTTTTAAATCCCATTAGCTACAAATCCATGTGCATTTAGCCACAACTTGGTACTGCACCTTACTTCCCACACATTCATCAGCAGTCATCTGGGAGTGAGCAATGTTACTGCTTTTTAAGGCGTGTGCGTTGCTGAACTCCTTTCCTGCCCCTGCATCTATTTATATGCCTTTAATTTACACCCTGTCCCATCTGCACTGGGCAAGCTGTGGGTCCATTCTGTGTAATTAAGAAGTTAAACTGAAGGCAAGTACAGTGTGATTGGATACATCATGTACCACAGCCAAAGATATACATGATATTCACTACAGTGACTTCACTGCATTTACACTTAAACAGAGAATTTGGCTATACTCACCAATCCTGCTGCTTGAAATGAGTCAGTGGTTTCAGGCTCTCCTTTAAACCTTGTCTGTGCTATGAAAATTAGGTTCATATTGATACTAATAATAGCAGGTAATTCTAATAAAGCCTCCCACTACATGGTTACACTGGTCCTGGTTCCTCCTAAGAGAGACCATGGCTTAAATGTTACTAGCATCTAGTAGGCCATCTGTGTTTAAAGACTCCTTCCACTACCCGACAGCCCCTCAGAAATATCAATCAAACCTGAAAACTTTCTCTGATGTATTGGGCCTAAATAACTGCTGCACTTGGTAGAAGAATCTGAAATACCAAATTAATTTAGACTGAATATTAGAGAAGCCTGGAAAAATCTGGCTGCTTCAACTATAATTTATTTCCTGAATCTAGTGTAAGGGAAATAAATGTGTTTTATTCTAAAATTAAATGCAATGGCAAAAATCTAATTATACTAGCCAGTCAACATAAATTCCAATTTGAGTGCATGTATACCACATTGTACAGCAATTATTAGATTTCCAATCTAATTGGGGCAGGCACTGCATGTATATTTAGGCATTAAAAATATTTAAAGACTTTAAGCGTAATATTTTAAGAATGTGAATAATACGGGCAAGAAAGCCACTAAGGATCGAAATATGCAGTACGAGTCTCAAAAACACCCGGCTGTGATAGTGAAATGGTTCATTCTCCAGCATACTCTGGACTTTTAAACAAAATTGTTCACTGTTTGCTGAAGCAGATGAATACAGACAGAAAAACATGTTGAAAGTATGAGACTTGTAATAACTTTAAACAAACTGGATGCAAGTATGTTGGCTTAATTAATGTTATATGGAGCTATGATCCCTATAAAAGATAAAACATTGCAGCAGCACCGTCCATCTATTACCTAGTATCTCTGGTAACCCAGGACAGCTACCAGTACAGAACAAATGTGAGAAAGGAGTTGAGATGGAGGAACTAATTACTTGACCTGGCTTATCAACTACAAACTGGGAAGGACTGTTTGGGTTTGTTCGGTTTGGTTAAGATGGGAGAATGGAAAATTCTTTTAAATTTTAATTTCTCCCTAGTTTTGATACTCTGCAGCTAAGTCTAGCATTGCCTTTATCTTAACTCCTTAAAATCTCTCCTTTATGTCTCTTTTTCCATGTTACAGTACCTAATAATCTGCCTCTCTGAGATCTGCTGCCTTGTACCTGAATACTGAATCACTGATTTTTCACTGTATTTTTTGGATTTTCAGGTGGATTTGTTTTAATGTGTCCAGAATTTGGTTATTTCTCTTCCTGGCATTTACCCACTCATAAACAGAGGTCTTAAGGAACCTTCTGTATGCAGACTGAAGAATGATATTGCAGTTCTGCAGCATTATGTTCTTCTTCATTTCAAGGGTTTGCTCAGACTAAAAGCAGAATGCAGTGGCATATTTCAAGTTGTACAATTGATTTTGAAGTAATACTTTTGCCCAATTCCACAGATATCATCTGAGAGGCAGTTAAGAACACACAAACTGTATTCCTAACTCTGCCACTAGCACAATATGTAGCCCTGAGCAAATTATTATCCTCTCTCTACTTGCATCTTCCCATCCGTAGGGGTTTGCTATCTTAATAATGCATTAGTCTTTGCAAAGCACTCCAAAAACCTTTGATGTACATAGCTTATGTGCAGTGGGATATTTTTAAAAAAATAATCTAAGACAGAGTGAATTCTAGTAATTTCTGGACAACCTTTCTGACCCACAGAAAGCATTATTTCCTTGTATATATTAGGAAACTGAGGCATACTGAGATCTCCTAGTACTGGAGCCCTGTAGGTCCCCTCTTACAGTATGACACTCCTCCCTGCTCAAGTTAAAGTGACAAGGACAGAAGACCTTAACCCTTCTCTCAGTAATGTGAGACCACAGGCCCCTTTCTCCTCTGGAATGGTATTAGGGTCTCTCTATTCAATCTGGGGAGACGAAAGGCAATTAGAGGAGTTGCCTTTGCAGTCAATACCTTCCCATGCCTTGACCAAGACCTTTGGGGAAATTCACAGCTCAGATTTGCTGTTGCAGGTAGCGAAGAAGATGCTAACCCAGATCTGTGTTTGATTTTTGCTCCTTGCAAATATGAGGGCTAGTGTCTTTAAGCAAACAGGAGAAACCAAATTCTGCTGTCGTTAACGTTGTGGCAGGAGCCCTGAGCAAGGTGTGTCATGCTTATGTTTTAATCCAGGCCCAGTGTTTTGTACTCTGAAGGAACCAAAGTAGTTTTCTGTGTTTTGCAGCTTAGGAATGGAATCTTAACAGTATGTCTCCAGTTATATCATACTGACATACTCTCATAAACAAAAGAATAAGCCTGTTTCTTTTCTATGCTGAGAAGGTATAAAGTGGATGGAACAAAATAAAGCTTGCACCACTGGAAGAAAAACTGGAACTCAACAACTCTAGGTTTGTGATCTCTGTGTTAGCAACCATCTGTTGCTTTCACAGCTTACAACAGCAATCATAAGAGGAGGTTCTCACTCCCAACCATCTGTTTTTAGAAGGGAAGCTAAAAATAGACATCGGGCAGAGTTGCTAAAGGAATCCAACCTTCATGCAGTGAAGGGTAATCACTACTGCTGCTCAGAGGGTCTCAGTGAGGCACACATATGTAACTAGCTGGTTTCTGCAGAGCAAAATCCCAGCTAAAAGTCCAAGTTTTAACTCATTTCATAGTAGGCCCTGCTAACAACTGTTAAAAGTCCTCTCTCAATATGAATTGCCATGCTTTTAATTTTTGAAGTGCATTTCAAAGCTATCCTTCCAGACAGCATTCTTCATAGTTTTCCTCCCTGAAAATAAATTTCTGTTTCAGAAGGCCCCCTGTAGTATTTCGGAAAACATAACAAGTGAACCATAAAGACTGTTGGATCTAACATGTGCCATAGGGACTTAGTAACAGCTCACAGTTACCCCAGTGGACGCATCCTGCCATCTTCCCCAGGTTATTTGGAATTAAAGGCTGATCTGCAGCTTTGCCATAAGCACCAGGCTGAGCCTCCGAAAGCAACTGTCTGCTCTAGAAGCGCACCAGGAAACAAGACTTCACCCCGCTGAATCACCCTGTGGTTTTGGATTCTACGAGATGCCTGGGTGGGGGAGGAGATAGAGGGAAGTGGTCTGTACTGCCCAGTGCCATGCACAAATTGCTTCCCTGGCTACAAAAACTCTTCTGAATTTTTTCCGTCCGGGCTGTGTGACCCTTTGCAAGGAAGGAGGGTGGAGCGTTGCCAGGACACTGGGGCTTCCTGGCACCACCACCCACAAAGCACCACTAATGCTGGACCATTGGGCAAGTTGCAATTTGGACTAACACAACGTTGCCATAAAATGGCTGCTCATCCAATTCTGCAACCCAGGCCCTGTTACGCTATCGCTAAGTTGGATTTTTCAGATGTCTACATCTGTAGCCACTAGCTTCTGAACACAGAAAACAAGATATGGTGATCATTCCCTGGTTGCCGGGGAGAAGCGCCCTACAGACCCTCTGTCTCTTCACAGGCTTCTGGGGATATAGCTTGCATTGCTAAAGAACGCAGAATCGTCCTGTTGTGGCTTGTTCACAAGGTTTCTCAGGGAGTGCAAAAATTGGGCCCAGCATCTATTTTTAATTTAAAGAAAAGGCTGCAAGAATGCAGGCTAAGTGCTCTTCCATTGTATTCTAAAAATGAATTAAGCTGATCTAAATCCATCTCTTAATTCCTGTGAGGAGGACTGTTCATAGGAGGTATGAATTATACACTGAAAAAGCCCAGGGTTTATGAATTACTATTTTTTTGACAAAACTTTCCTTCTGGCATATTTGAAGACTGTGTGGCTGCTTACGTGTCTGAATAAGCTCTTCTGTATAGCGAGAAATAACTAGCTGGAAGATGGAACCTAGTAAAATGGATTTTAGAGCATTAGAGACAAAAAAGACAGAATATTCCTTCAATAATATACAAAATTGCCTTTAAGTGATCACAATTGATCCCAGTCTTAATGTGGGATTAAATACTGTCCAAATCCTTCATCTTGCCATGTGGTGATGCTAAACTATTTTCCTACACATTCTCAACAGAACATTCCCTCTCTTCTCTCCATCACTACAGGAACTTCAACTTGCTGGCTTCTTCACGGTTTTCTGTGGAAGTCTCTGAATTTTCTCTGTGAGACTATTTTAGTGTCTGTAACAACAGAACATGGATTCAACTCTGTAAATAGTATCAGCAAGCACAGTTTCACTTAAACACCTTACACCAGTTGCTTATCCATACTATGGAGCTGCTGAGAAATGGCAGACTGCCATGGACAAGCCCTTTCACTCCTTACCTGTGAGAAATTACAAGGCTGCGGTGCATTCCTGTGCTGCCTGCTTTCTCACTGTCAGTGACCTTATGAACAGCACTCTTCCCACACAGGATTTCTACTTTCTCCAGGAAAGGAGCTCACCCCAGTTTTGGTGACCGCAGCCATGAACAATCAGGATTTTCCATTCTTTCAGATATGGGCAATCAAAAGAAAAAATATAAAATTCTCCCTGGCACAGGGAAACTGGTCAGATCCTCTACAGAACCTGCTCTTCGGAAAGATGAGTTCTTTCACTTTATCTTTACAGGAGAATATGACCATCAATGAATATGTTCTCACAGCAAAAACAGACTATGGAATAGAGATGGTTTAATATAGTTATCCGTATCATATCAGACATATCTTTTCATTTACTAACTATAGAAATCCTGCTCAGGCAAGAAAGACTGATCAGTTAGGTGCCCCATTCCCTTTCACTTTTTACAAATAAATCCCAAAAGCACATTCTTCAGTCCAGTGTTGAGCAACAGCTCTAAGATAGAAGACTAAGCCTTCACACTGACTCAAGATTAATTCCCATCATACAACTCCTCAGAAGACGAAGTGCCAGAGTACTAGTGCCATCATGTGCACACTGAGTAACACATCACAGTGAAAGAGCTTCTGGAATTAAAGGAGTTCCTCAGAGTCTTCTGCACCTCGTTTTATGTCAGGTCCCAATTTGTCAGGGCTAACAGCTTCCACTGAAGAACGTGGTAACACAAGTCAACAATTTCACTGCAACAGGTATTAAGGCAGTTGAAAAACTGCCTGTGGTTTTTCTTAAGTGAGGAATATGCAAGCCATCTCACTGTCCGTGGCTGGGCTATCTGTTGGTCATAACTAAAGATGCAGCCCAGGTCACGCCTGGCATCCATCCCTTACTGACTCCACCACTGCATCCCACCTGGAAATCAGACCAATAAGGAATCAGCATTCAGTCCTACTGACCTGTCAGCATTCATGGCTACATCTAAATTAGAGCGCAAGCTGCATGAGGAATTTTCAGTCTATGTTTTATTCATCTGAAGTGCTAAGTTCACCTAGGATGCTGGTAGATGTTCCTTTGCTCTGGAGAATAATGCTGCCACCTCCATTTTTATACACACACCAGTGAGTGCCAGTGACTGCAAAGAATTATTGCACATGCCACATGGATGCAGCACAGAGCAAGACTAAAACAAACTGAAGACAGTAGCCCGCTAATGTGTCAAAATGACACAACATCTTCAGAACTGCTGAAATTGTCCTGTAGCATTCAGATATTTTTCTGACACAAATCATCCAGTCACCAATCCAAACCAATAGACTGCTTATAAACCCACAGAACAGAGCAGTAAAAAGATACAGTTCGCCTCCTCTCTAACCTAATTTTGCATTTTTTCTAATTAGAGAAGAGGCAGTGTTATTAGAAATATAAGTGCTAATTTGGAGGTTTAAAATAAGTCCTAAAGCTCTGTCCCAAAGCATCCCTTTTAGTAATGTTGATTTTTATAATTCACAATAAAACTGCAGGATTTGGAATCAGTGTGCTTTATATTGTTTCTTAAAGCCCAGGTTCCTGGAGTCTCATGATAATATAAAGAAAATCACATCCTTTTCCCCTTTAAATGAAAGATAAATTTCTAGTACCCCACAGATACAGCGAAAACTTGAATATATGAAGACCAGAGGCTTAAAGAAAACCCACATCCAGCAAAGGACAAAAGAGAAAGTCTCAAACCATTTTGATTTTCTAGGGTTTTTAGGTAGTAGTGTCTGTGGATAGGAATAGCTGACTCATCATTTTGAATGCCTGGGACTGACAAAACCTCAGTATTGCTGAAGTAAGTTTTACATCCACTTTGTCCATGTGTTCTCAATAAAGGAACAGGAACAAAGCTTACTGAAATCAGCAATAGGGTGCCTGCTAACGCAGGGCTTTGGATCAGATTTTAACACACGCTGGAAGTCCTTTTGCATTGCAGGTCTGCGCTATGGAGGCAGTACTCTAGTCTAAATTATATTTAGTTTGTTTTAAGATGTAGTTTGGAGGCTGAATCAGGAGTTAGGTTATAAATGAAAAATGTGCATTTTTTAATATTTTTTATATTTACCAAAATACAAAGATCTCTTTGCAAAGGAAACAGATTTGTCAAGAAGTCTGACCTGCCAAGAATGTCTCATATGTTCTCTATCAGAAAAACTCTGCCAGCTCATGCCACCTTACCCAGTTGTCCCCTTCCATCACTCTTGCCTCATGCAGTACAGCTGTAGTTTATATGATACTCAAATGACTGCAGGTGCACACACCATCTTAAAATTAAGTCAGGAAGAGGATATGCAGTAACATTGTGCTGGAAAAGCAATAATTATTGCTTGTATTCAGCGTTACCTTTTTAGCTGGTGATGTCTGAATAGCATTGAAAGATGCCACTGTACCTCAAAGAAATTATAAATTAGTAAAATTCCGAGAGAACTCTGTCACAAACTAAAGGATATCTACTAACTCTTAATCCAGGAAGAAGAGATTTTTACTTGAACACATAATCAATGTTTAGTAAAAGTCTCTCTAGGTTAGTAGTCTTCATAAAAACGTGCTTTTAACATATCAAAAATTGAAGTTTCTGAGAACCTCTCAAACTTGGTTGGCTTTGGGTTCTTCGGCCTGCCATTAACTTAATTTGGCAAAGACATTCTGGATCTACATTTTCAGACACATCCCTTAGATTTGATTTGAATATAACTCAGTGCTGCTATTCAGAAGTGCTGTGGAGCTTTTGACATTCTGAAAATGAAACATAACTGTCTTGAGTTTCCAACATAAATTTTAGTGGATGCTTTTGGGAACTCAGAGCGGCATCTCCCATCCTGAGACTCCCCATATGGCAATAACAATACTTACCTATCTTTCTAGGAAGGCTATGACGCTTTCAAAGTATGAGTCACAGCTCACAACGAGGCGTTTGAATGTAAGATTTGCACTGGGATTATTACTGTTGGAAGGCCATTTTTTAAAAGCAAATCTGAAGGTGTGAGTCCCCTTCCTTTTAAAGGGAAAACCTGTCTTTGCTTAAACACTTGTCTAGAGAACTGTCGACACATAGACTGTAAACTCGGGCACTTCACCTCCTTCTTTTGCATCGAAAAGAATTATATTTCAAAGGGAGAAACTAGGCACATTTTTATTTTATCGGCATACATCCAGTTGTTGCTGCAGTGCTGTTCAATCTACGTGGCTGGCAACACCCTGAAGCAGAGCAGCTTCAGCGGAGGCTGAGCTATACATAGGCCAGCACAACGGGCCTGGAGTGAGCTCAGGAGCTCGCAGCTTCCCAGCAGCTGCCAGCTCGGCTGGGACAACGTACAGGGAGCAAGGGAAAATGCATGTGGGAGGAGGCAGGTGGGGGGAGGGGGGACAGACGAGATGGGACAGAAAGGGGACAGGATGCTAATTGCTAACATTTCATTTTTAGATCTGCCAAAATCACGTTACAGGTTTCGCTGTTTACAACTCTACAGTAAAGGGTGGCAGGCTTTGTGTTGTGCGAGACCGTGTTTGCATGTTCCAGGCTTGCAGTTGGCACTATGGCTGTGTAGTAGCTGAAACTAGGAAGAAGTAATGTGGTCTGAGGAGGCACATTTCTATTTTACACCAGTCCAACCAAAATGATTAGCAGCTGCCTCTCCTTTCAGTAGGATACTGGAGTGGTACCAGCTAGACCAGGGCTACCTACCAAAGCCGAGACAAACAGTCAGCAAGGAGTACAATGATTACTGCTATTTCTTGTTTTAGTTATAGCAACCACCAGTTTGGTGACCACCCATTTTAATAACTACACCTCCACTCCCGTTTCTCTCAGGCACATTCACAGTTATAACCATTTGTTTTCACACCTGGCCTTAACAGAGGCACTGATCTTGCTAATGTTTGAGTTAGCTTTACACACTTCACAGCCTGACCAACTTCAATATAAAATTGCTTTTAACATCAGGGCCTCCTTTACAACCAAAAAATGAGTATCTATCGGAATTAAGATGGCTACGGCTGCAACCAGAGTAGCCACTGGTATCTGAGCTGAGAGGAAGCGAGAAGTGGCTTGTTCTGCTCTTGTGCTTAGCATATTTTGTGGCTGTTGTTTTGGTGACAGTTGGGAAAGCACTGAGAGCTTTACTGTATCAGATCTACAGCTTGTCCTACATGTATTAGGGCCTTTAAGACAGATAAATAGAAATGGGAAGCCAAGGAACACAGTTTACCTCAGCTCTGTCCAACCTGTCCACACTAGTATCATATCAGTAAGTGATGCTGAGCAATATAGATATTAGGCACTGCACCATAATAAGATTCACTCCGCTCCTTCTGTACCCAGCTCTGCACTGCCCAGATGCTGGCTTGGTGCCAAACCTGCACCAGCCAGCCACACTATACCTCAGCATCTCTCTTCCCAGGGCAGCAGGAGCAGCACAGGCTCTGCTCCTGCATCACCGCCATCCTCCCTCCAAGTCCTGACTGTCCTTCACAGCAAAGACACAGGAGCAAAGGAAAGCTTCCACCTCTATCTGGTGAGCACATACTGGAGGAAAGGGACACGATGGACAGAAAACCCCATAGCAAAAGAGACTGAGAGGAGGATGGACCCCAACTGCCATTTTAAACAGCAGGCTTCAATATGGAGCAAACTCCCCAAGAGACAGCTACTCTGTGTCCTCACCCTGATCATTTGGGACATGGCAAAGGGATATACTGCACAACTCTTTGTTAGTG